TCATTCCTAGCAACATTCCACACTCTTGTTTTTGAGACAGGGTCTTGCTGTGTTGCTCAGGATAGAGTGCAGTGGCACGATCTTGGCTCACTGTAACCTCTGCCTCCCAGGTTCCAGCAATCTTCCTGCTTCAGCCTCCTGAGTAGCTGTGATTACAGGCACGTGCCACCACGCCTGGCTAATTTTTGTATTATTCATAGAGATGGAGCTTCACTATGTTGGCTAGACTCATCTTGAACTCTCCTGACCTCAGGTGATCCACCTGCCTCAGCCAATCAAAGTGCTGGGATTACAGGCATGAACCACTGTGCCTGGGTTTTTGTTTTGTTTTAGATGGAGTTTTGCTCTTGTTGCCTAGGCTGGAGTGCAGTGGCACAACCTCAGCTCACTGCAACCTCCGCCTCCCAGGTTCAAGCCATTCTCCTGCCTCAGCCTTCTGAGTAGATGGTACTACAGGCGCACGCCGTCACGCCCAGATAATTTTTTTTTTTTTTTTTTTGTAGATACAGGGTTTCACCATGTTGGCCAGGCTGGTCTCAAGCTCCTGACCTCAGGTGATCCACCCACCTCGGCCTCCAAAATGCCTGGGATTACAGGCATGAGCCATTATGCCTGGCCCATTCCACACTGTTAAACCCAGTCCTAAGGCTAGGCCAGGCTCCTGTGGTATTTGCCACTCTGCATGGCTTTCTACAGTCTCAAGAGAAGGTCTATCTGAATGCCCTTTGTGTGGAAAAAAAAAGAGAGAGAGAGAGGTTTACAGTGTCCTAAGTTCTTGGACAAGAAGTTTTGGGATAAATGCCAAATTCCTGTACAAGAACTTGGAATAGAAGTCCCATTGCTGCCCTGCCCTTGAACCCAAGTCTAATAAGTGGGCTCTGACCTTGTTCTTGAGGATTGACTCTGCCTTGATCATCTCTCCTGGTCCCCAGACTTGCTAAACTGTAGCTATTTTTATTTCAGCAAAACTCCAAAGGACTCAGAGTTACTGAAATCCAGCCTGGTAACTGGGGGTTTTATTACTACACTGAATCCTCTCTTTTCCTGCTTCTGAATTCTTTACCATTCAGAGGAGCTTTAAAGAAAAAAAAAATCCGATGACACTACTTTTTTGCTTAATTGCCACTGTTTATTTTTATTTGAAACAGGCTGGGGTGCAGTGGTATCTCTGCTCACTGCAACCTCTGCCTCCCAGGTTCAAGTGATTCTCATGCCTCAACCTCCCGAGTAGCTGGAACCATAGGCGTGCGCCACGATGCTCAGTTAGTTTTTGTATATTTAGCAGAGATGGGGTTTTGCCATGTTGGCCAGGCTGGCCTCAAACTCCTGGCCTCAAGTGATCTGCCTGCTTTGGCCTCTCAAAGTGTTGGGATTATAAGCATGAGCCACCATGCCTGGCCTGCCACTGTTGACTATACTTTCAGATACACGGTTTTGCATGAGGGACTAATAAATCACAGGAAAGAAATAGAAATGGCAGCTTTTAAACATATGAAAAAATGCATAACCTCACTTATAATAAGAGAAATTTTTTTTTTTTTTTTTTTTTTTTTTTTTTTTTTTTTTTTTTTTTTTTTTTTTTTTTTTTTTTTTTTTTTTTTTTTTGCAATGAAGTCTTACTCTG